AACGTACTCTCCATACTTACCCCCGCTCATCTGTGGTGTCCTTTTTAAAATATCAGTTCTCATACACACCAGTCTGTTTCTGAGCAGTCTATTGTGTCCCATTTGTTTTTTACTTCTGCGTCAGAACTGCTCTTTTAAAAAACTAACCCTGAGGCAGGTGACATGGTACATGCTTTAATCCCAGCAATTTGGGAGCTGAGAAAGGAGGACCACAATTTCAAGGCCGACCTTAGCAATTTAGCAATGACCAGTCTCAAAAAATAAAAGGGGAAGGGTGTTTAGTGATAAAGTGCTCTGGGTTTGATCCCCAGTACTTCCCCCCACTCCCTAAAAAAAATTTGACTCTAGTTTTAGACTTTTATTCCATTTACATTTTGTTTTATTTATTAATTCACTTACTTATTTTGAGGTGGGGTCTTGTCACGTTGCCCAGGCTGGTCTTGAACTCCTGGTCTCCTGCCTCAGTCTCCCAAGTTACTGGGGCTACAGCATATGCTACTACACCAGCCTTCCATATTAATTTTGAAGAAGCCTTAGGGGAAAAAATAGGGAAATTGGCTGAGCACCATGGCGCACGCCTCTAGTCCCTGTGACTCAGGAGGCTGAGGCAGGATTACAAGTTTAAGGCCAGCCTAGCAACTTAGTCCCTAAAGCAACTTATCAAGACTCTGTCTCAAAGGATACAAAGCACTAGGGATGTGGCTCAGTGGTTAAGCAAACAGGAGGCTGCTTTAGCCAGGGCCCTTAGTGAGCAGGGCTGGCACTGTGAAGAGGCACCTTTGAGCCAAGATCTGAATAGTACAAAGCAGCCAACAGTGCAGGCAGCAGAGTGGAAACCCAGGGCCAGGATGGACACAGCTGGAAGCATGAAGGAGCAAGGCAGGCAGCAGAGCCAGCAGAGATGGGATCCTGCACAGCCTGGTGGACACTGAGTCTGGATTTTTCTCCTGCCCAGGGCCACAAGCAGCATTTATTTATTTATCTATCTATCTATCTATCTATCTATTTTTGGTGCTGGGGATTGAACCCAGGGCCTTGCACATGCAAGGCAAGTACTCTACCAACTGAACTATATCCCCAGCCCGCACAAGCAGCTTTTGAAGGGCTTTAAGTGAAGGAGCGAATGACCTCTGGTTATATTGTTAACCACCTTCCACTTCTTCCCCAGCAAAAAAGGGAGAACCTGTGCCCGCTGTGCCTCATTCCCACGGTGACATCTCCCCGGGAGGAGCAGCAGCTCCTGGCCAGCACCTCTAAGGTGAGGCCCCTGAGCTCTGTGGGGTGGAGGCTTAGGGCCTCTCCCTGCAGCCTGATCCCATCCTTCTCCTCCTTTCCCCCAACAGCCCGTGGTGAAGCTCCTGCACAACCGCAGCAACAACAAGTACTCCTATACCAGGTGACTGCTGTGGTGGGGCAGGGTGTGTGTGTTCACGTGCAAACCAGGCAAAACCCTGGGATGCACAGCTCTGCTGCGGGTCCAAAGGGAAGGCTATGGCCACACAGGGACAATAAGGACGCCTGCCTCAGTGCACATTCCAGCTCTGCCACTTGCCCACTGGGTACTTTGAGCAGATCATCCCCCATTCAGAGCTTCAGTTGTATCCTCAGTACACAGAGGTTTAGATGAGGACTACATGATGGCTGTCATGGACTAAGTGCTGATTTTCAAACCAGATTTCTTTAAGTGCTCTGTTAACTTAGACAACTCTCCCACTGTTTTGAGGTAGGTGTTGTGAACTCCATTGACAGATGAGGAGATTGAGGCACCAAGAGGTGTTAAGTAACTTGCCTAGTGTCAGTCAGTTAAAAAGTGGCAGAGCTGGGGTGCCTGATGTGGCAGCTTGGTGAAGCATCCTGGCTCAAGAGCCTACATGGGGAGCTGAATGGCTATGCTTGCTGGGATTTACCCAGCAAATGCTATTTCCCTTTTGAGGCCTGTTTGGCTGGAAGATCCTGCAGGGCAGAACCAGAGTGCCTTCAGGAGGGGGGGCGGAGCAGGAAGGGGAAGCCAGTCATGCTGAGGCCTTGCTGCCTCCCCCCCAACCTGGTCCTCAGCACTTCAGATGACAACCTGCTTAAGAACATCGAACTATTTGACAAATTGGCCCTGCGCTTCCACGGGCGACTGCTCTTCCTCAAGGATGTCCTGGGGGATGAGATCTGCTGCTGGTCTTTCTACGGGCAGGGTCGAAAAATCGCCGAGGTGTGTTGCACCTCCATTGTCTATGCCACGGAGAAGAAGCAAACCAAGGTCAGAGGGGTTCCAGGACTGGTCAGGGAGGCATGAGGGTGGGTAGAACCAGGACCCTGGACAGAGGCAGCTTAGCTGATGGGGCAGGGAGAGTCCTTCAGTTGGAGTCAGGGGCCACAGTTCTGGGGCCTTGGCTTATTAACTTGGGCAGGTCATCTTACTTCAGTGGTCACTTTCTCTCCCTGTAAAATGAGGGTGTTGGTTTAGAGCAGGGTTGTCTTCTGTGCTGAGAATTGAACTCGGGGCATCTCATAGAGCAGGGTTCTTAACCTCTGCATCCCCGGCAATAGTTTGCAGATTTGGAGGTGTGTACATTTTTCTGTCTAGAAAGTCCATGGTTGTCTTTATTATTTCAGAAGAATCTATTACCCACAAAAGTTTCTTAAAACCTAAGGACCACATGATCTCTTGGAACACATCTGAGTTTGTAGATTCTGAGTCATGAACATGACAATCATCAGCAAATGTTTCTCAAGCACCTGCTCTGCACTAAACACTGTCCCAGACTCGGAACCGCAGAGGAGGATAAGCTGAGTAATGAGCAAGCCCTTCTTCACCTGTTCCTTCTGAACTTAATATGAGGCTATGCCCTGGGTACTCCCCAAAGCCACTTCACACCTCCCACCTCTGCACACATTCTTTTTGGAATTTTTTTTTCCCTGTCCCTTTCCACTTAATGAACCTGTACCTAACCATTAAGACCCAGGCCAAGCATCATTTTCCTTGGGACACCTTTGCTCATGAACTTTGAATCCAACCATCTCAAAGTTGGTCACACTCCCTTCTTAGCTGGAGATAGCATTTATGATAGTGTATGGGTGTGGAAATGGGGGCTGCTTCAGTGGCCAGGCAATTCTTTGCCTTTTTTTTTTCCTGTCTCCCCAACACTAGCCTGGCCCTTGTCACACAGGTAGGAAACATTGATGGAATGCATGAGTGAATAAATGACTCAGCTTCTTGAAGGTTTCTTCTGCAATTGGGAAGAAAGGAAGATAAACCAATAATTAGAATACAACTTGTTCAGAGCTACGTACATTATATCCTTCCAAGGCCACACAAGTGGAGTACCCCAACAACTTGACTTTGTTTCTGTGTACTTCCGTTCATGACTCTGCCTCAATGGCATTGGCCTCCTGTTGATCTTTGAATAATCCACTAGGCATACCACTGACCTGGGTGCCATTGCCACTCCCCAGCCTGCTTTCTCTAGCTATCCCTGGTCTGCCTCCCTCCCCTGCTTTGGTTAGATATACCCTCCAGTGATATCCCTAAACTCCCTCTTGAAAGATGTCACACTGGCCATGGCCAATCTCCTTCCCTTTTCGTGATGTGTTTTTGCATAACATTTGTCATCATCTGACTTAGGTTATGTTTTGAGTGTATGTCTGAGTCCTCCTCCTAGAATGGAGACATGCCAAGGGCAGGCACTTTTGTGTTCTGTTCGCTGTCATTCCCCATTCCTATAACAGTACCTAGTGTAGTGCAGTCCCTCATTAGGCTTCAGAGCTTGGAGTATGAGTTTGCCAGGTAAAGAAGTTGCAGAGGGAACAGTCCACGCCCGAGAACCTGACTGCAGAGGCTGGGAGGCACATGGGTGCAGGAGCTGTGGGGGACAGGGACTATGGGACTAGACCAGAGGGTAGGAGTGGGGAGATTGATGGCCTTTTGCAGGTGGAATTCCCAGAGGCCCGGATCTTCGAGGAGACCCTGAATATCCTCATCTATGAGACTCCCCGGGACCCAGACCCAGCCCTCCTTGAGGCCACAGGGTGTGCATCTGGAGGTGGTGGGGCAGGCCGAGGGGAAGATGAAGAAAACCGGGAGCACCGTGTCCGCAGGATCCACGTCAGGCGCCACATCACCCACGATGAGCGTCCTCATGGCCAACAGATTGTTTTCAAGGACTGACTTTTGACCCTTCCCCTGGCATTTGACCCTTCCCTGCCTTCCTCCTGGGACCCATCCATACCTCTTGTTTTTCTCCCATCCCCAGACCTTTGCCCCGGCTCTGCTGGCCAAGTCGTGGGTCTTCTGTCCCTTCGTTGCATGGTACAGTTCACTTGTGCCCTTTTCTGTTCATGTTCACTCACTGCTAACAGTTGTACATTCCAGCCCTTCCCCTCAGGCAGAGCCCTTCAGAAGGCCCCTCCTCCCCATTCTTGTCCTGCGATCTTTCCTTCGCCAGATGGTTTAGAAGGACTTAGAATTCCCTTTCTCTTTTTTTAGTACAGTGTACACACCTAAGTGTTGAGCCAGTCCTTAGCAACATCCACCATGTTCTGAGCCACCTCCCACCATTGTGCAAGGTACTCTGCTTCCCTCCCCCCCTCCCTCCCTCCCCACCATTTTCCCTACCTCCTTAACTTTGTACTAGGCTGGCCTGGGCTGTTGCCAGCTTGGCTATCTTCTTGATCTGTTTCATATTATTTATTATTTTAATTTTATATTAAATTATTGGAATAAAGTTGAGTTGAAAGCCTGCTGCTGGTTCACCCAGGGAGAGGAATGGGGAGAAGGCTTGTGTTAGGTGATGCCTGGCTAGTTGTATGGCAGAAGGCAGGAGTTCCGCCCCAAGCCCTCCCTGAGGCTGGTAGCTGGGAAGGAAGTACACAGGAGTTAGGAAAGGGTTCAAAATTTATATTTCAGCACTTACTGGCCATCCACAGCCCCCTCCCAACCCTCGCAGAGGAGGTGGTCCTGGCTGCCACTAAAGCATCTCCAGCCAGGTGTCTGAAGGGAACACCTTCCTTCAAGGGTCTGGTGCGAAGACAAAGTCGAGGGCCTGACGTTCAGCCCCAGCCACGTTGGGGTGCCAGAGGTCCACAATGAAGACTACTCTAGGCCCATCTTCAGGGGAACCTAGGGCACATGAGGATAGAAACAGAACAGCAGCTGACATGAAGCACTCACTAGAGACTCAAAAGAGTATATAAGTGCCAACCCCTGTTCTAGCCCTTTATATGTATGAACTCTTAATCACCAAAACAAATTATGAGGTAGCTCCATGGTTATACAAAGCAACTAAGGTATAATAAGCTTAAGTGATTTTCCCAATATCTGACCCCAAAATGTAGAGGGAGGAGAGAAGCCCAGGTGATCCAAACCCGAAGTCCTGTGCTGTGAGCTATTTTGTATGCACCTCCGTTAACTTATTTAACCTGTGATTGCTTTATTAAAAAATAAAAAGGTAGTTTGTAATCCCAGCAATTTGGGAGACTGAGGGAGGATCACAATTTGAAGGTCAGCCTCCACAACTTAGTGAGACCCTGTCTCAAATTTTTAAAGAAGTAGTGGTAGAGTGCCCCTGGATTCTATCCCCTCTACCAAGAGAGAAAAATAAAGGGGGGGCAGTTGCCACACAGGTGATTGGAGTTATGTGACTCACTCAAGATCATGCAGTTGAGAATTAGTGGTGCTGGGACAGGAAGTCAGCTGGGCCTGATTCTGCAGCCCTCTAAGTCTCCTTCACTCTTCATCCTCACCCCCACCCTCAGCAGAGAAGAGCCACCATTACCATTATGAGCCACTGTGTACAGGAAGGAGTCATCCACCAGGAGGCAGTGCCCCTCAGCCCAGCACTGGGGCTCACCCCCAACCACCAGCTCACAGCCAGAGGGGATCTTCACACCTGTGGGAACAGACCAGGCATTTAACTCCCCTGCTTCTGCCCAAGGCGCCCACTCTGCTCAGTCAGCAGATCTAAAGGCCAGGTTCTGTGGTGGTCCCTCCTTGCTCTCTGGTTGGTGACTGGAGTATAATCAACAAAGCAATGGATGGAAGAAGTGCTAGGAGATCATGGAAGTGCTTCTGTGGGAAGCATAATCTGTCATCTTTAGAGAATAAAGAAAGCTTCCTGGAGCAAATGGCATCTCCTTCTTGGTTTCCTGACAATTCACTTCAAGAACCCACTATCTGCAGGCACAGTCTCCTCACAAGATACAACTAAGGAGTCCATCCTGGCCCAAGGATCATACAGTTGGGCATGGTGGAAAAAATGAGACCTACTTAAATGATGGACAATAGGCACGCATCCCAGAGGAGGCCCAGGATTTGAAAATACTCCCAAAGTCTGGGTAGGAGTCTTCTAGGCAATGATAAGGAGGAAGGCTTTCTAGAAGTTAGAAGTTCAACAGTATGTGATATCTGCCTGAATCAGCCAGAAAGCCTTCATGATTTACAGTATGGTGGGAGGAAGGAGAGGAAGGATCTGGACTTAGTCCTGAGGCCAGCCTGCCCCAAAGTATAGGACACATCCAACTGGCTGCAAGGAGATGCTTTTGGGTGAAACAAGGTCATGGCATAGAGTAACAATCAGAAAGTTGATTTCCATTTTCTTTCAATCTTCAAAACATCAAAAAGAAAATCTCAAGAGGCTTGTGGCTCAGTGGTAGAGCACTTTACCTAGCACGTGTGAGGCCCTGGGTTTGATCCTCAGCACCATATAAAGATAAAAAAATAAAATAAAGGTATTGGGCTGGGAATGTGGCTCAAGCGGTAGAGCGCTCGCCTGGCATGCGTGCGGCCTGGGTTTGATCTTCAGCACCACATACAAAGATGTTGTGTCCGCTGAAAACTAAAAAAAATAAATATTAAAAAAAGGTATTATATCCATCTACAACTACAAAAAATATATTTAAAAAAATCTCAGGTTGGTGCTACTGGAACTTTAACACCTCACTAATACTGATACCTTTTCGATGAAGAAAATAGAGGCCCCAGGCTTGGAGTGACCTGAGTATTTAACTAAAATGTTTAAGACTTTCTTTTTTCTTTATTTATATTTTAATTATAGGTGGGCACAATACTTTATTTTTATGTGGTACTGAGTATTGAACCTGGTGCCTCCCACATGGTAGGTGAGCGCTCTACCTCTGAGCCACAACCCCAGCCCTCTTTTTTTTTAATTTAAATTTTATAAGTACTTTCTATGTAGAGTAAGAAATACTGATGATCACTTACAATTCTATAAAGATTGCTTTTCATTAAATAATTAAAACCAAAGGTGGGAGGAGAGTCAATGTGAAGAAACATCATACTGGGGTTAAATAACTATGGTAGAGGTTATGAAGATGGTTTGCAGAGAAGTGAAACTCAGAAAATGCTACTGTGGCTGGGCACCATAGTGCATGCCTGTAATCCCAGCAGCTGGGGAGGCTGAGGCTGGAGGATGGCAAGTTCAAAGCCAACCTCAGCAACTTAAACAATTTAACAAGACCCTATATCAAAATAAAATACAAAAAAAAAAAAAAAAAAAGGACTGGGAATGTGGTTCAGTGGTAAAGTGCCCTGTGGGCAATAATGAATTATAGAAGATTCTGAGAAGAAAGGCATGAGGAAAGTTCATAACAGAAAGGTTCATCAGCTGAGAAGCGGGTCTGGATGAGGCATTGTAGAAGCAAGGAAGTTGTCTAAAGGCAGGATTTACTTACCCAGATGGCATCTAACCCGAGCGTTGGTGGGCCCACAGCGGCCCTCGAGCCGGGCCCCAGGTAGAAGGACAGAAAAGCCAGCATTGCCGAAGGTGTTGGCACTCATAAAGCTCCGCAGCCCTCTCAGTGCCCTATAGGCTCCCGGGCACCGTCGGCAGTTGCTGGGTTGGCACCGGCCTGCTTGGTATAGCAGGAGCTGGTAGCACCCAGGGGCTAGGGGTGGGGACCAGCCCCGAGGCAGAGGGGTAGTCCCTGAGAAGTCCCAGCTCACAGCCCCAAAGTCCCGCAAAATGGCAGGGAAGCTGCTTTCTAAGAGTTCCACATCATGCCGTTGGGCATCCCGTGGCACAAAGGGGGCTGAAGGCAGGTCTGGTAGAAAAAACAGGCCTGGGCGCTGAATGCCCAGGACACCGGGCCCTCCTCCAGGGCCTGGGCCACCCTGAGCTGCCCGCCTCACCCTACCCATGCCAGCCCATGAATAGCGCCTGGCATAGGCCCGAAGTCGACGGCTCACTAGGCCTTCTGCTCTGGGTCCTTCTCCAGGCTCCCCAGGGCTCCTTGGGCCTGGTCTGCCAACCTCAGGGCATCCCCTAGGCCCACCACTAACACCTCCAGCCTGGCTCCCAGCCCCCAGGGCCTGTATGTCTTGGGAACCCAGCCGATAGCAGTACCAGAGGAACAGGGAAGTGAGGGCTCCGAGGAGCAAGGTAAGTGCTGAGGAGGCCAGGGGCAGAGGCCATGGAAGCATAACAGGCAGGGAGGCCCTGGCCAAGAGGCCTGGGGCATCTTCCAGACCCCAGTTTCCTGGTCCCCCCAGCTCTCCACCTGGCCCCTCAATGGCTGCTTCCTGGTCCCCCGCTGGGCAGTTTCCCTTCCACATGCCCTTTCCTGGTTCGTTGGCCTCTCTGATGTCTCCTCTCTACTTTGCACCTCTCTCTCCCCTCCCTCAGGTGCTAGGAGCCTCCTAGCTTGCTCTCCCCTCTCTTACCTCTCCTTCCTCCATTCAGTTGTCTCCCCTCCCTCTATCGCTCTCCTTCCTTCTCCTCTATCGTCCTTCTCTCCCTCTCTCTTCCTTCTCCTCGGGCAGTCTCCCCTCTCTCTGCCTTTCTCCACCCTCAGTCTTCCACTCTCCCCTCTTTTCTTCTTCCTCCACCCCCGCTCCTTCTTTAGCTCGCCCTCCCTTTCCCTTCTAGCTTCCCCGGACAGCCAGCCGTTCCTACCCCGCCTGGACCCGCAGCCCAGGACCCCGCAGCCTGTCCTCCTCCGTGGTGGCCTCTCTCTCTCCTTCCTCCCTCTTCTCTCCTTCTTGCCCTCGCTCCTCACTCGACCCGACCCGCTGGTCTTGCCTCTCTCTCGTTCCCTCTCTCCTACTCGCTCCTTCCTTGGCTCCCACTCACCCTGACGTCACTCCTTCCCGCAGCCCTCCCAGCTTAGCTACCYCCGACCCCTCCCAGTGGCAACGCGACTTAGCTCTGGGGGAGGGGTAACTCAGCTCTGGATTTGCCTCCCTGCCCCCCACAGCCCGGACCTGGCGCCACGTGGGGCACAGGGGGCACTGTGCCAACCTCCCGCAGCCCCGCAATGCGAAAAGGAGGGGCGGGGTCTGGATAGGGGCGGGGCTAACCCAGGGGGTGGAGCGAGAGCAGGGACTGACTGACTCCGCCGGGGCTCGGGGACTGCAGGCAGGGAGGCCACCGCCAGTCAGTGGGTCTGCGAGTCCCTCGAGTAGTCAGCCTGTGACTCCTCCTCCCCCTTGGCCTTCACAAGAGCCAGCCCACGGCGGGAGCCCGAACGTTAGTGAAAGCGGCTTCAGCCAATGCCCGCCAAGCCGAGGGCCGGCGGACGCAGGCGGGGCCGAGAAGAGCTGTCCGCGCGCTGGTGGTGCTGAAAAGGGCGCTCCCTAAGCGTGGCGAGGGAGACCAGTTGAAGCTGCCTGGCAGCTGGCCGGGGTCGTGTTGTAAGAGGAAGGGTCTCTCCTTTCCAGGTCACCCCTTAGACGTTTCACAAACATGGAAACTCGCCGTTTTCCTGCGGGAGGGGAAGGCCCATCTCATCTGAGTTTTTCAGTAAAATGCAAAGGGGGAAGTCCAATGGGGGATCGGGTCGTGGACAGAGGGCATACTGGAGGACCAAACAGGCGCGAACCAAGCTGTGCCGCTCCTTGGCGTCCTGGGAAGAGGAAATTCAGATTCCAGATGTGCTGGAATGGCGGGGGGAGGGGGCCTAATTACTGCTGGGACTGGAGAGTTTCCTTTGCCTCCCCTAGGGGCCGCGGGAGTGAGTATTACGGTCTTGGCTCCTGATCCCTCCTTCCACCATCTGCACTTCCTCCTCCTCCCTCCTCCGCAAATAAATCCCAGGCCCCTCCCTTTTCCCGTCCCCAGGATCTGACGTGGGCTCGACACCTTTCTCAGCTTCTCCCTCCCGCAGCTTCAGTGCCCGAGCTTCGGCTCTCCGGGTTCCGCAACCCCTTCCCCTCCCAGACAAGCCCCACTAGAGCCCCGTAGGGACCCTCCCCATCCTCAACCCCACCCTAGACCCCCCGGAAGCTGTATTTCCCCTCCCCACTCCCCCGCTTGGGATACAGCCAGCCCGGTGGACCCAGGCGCCCGAACAAGAGGGTAACCTTCGGCCCTCTCGGCCCCACCCCCTCCAGCCGGAGCCGCGCCCCCCTCTACCACGGATCCAGGAGCAGAGGACAGAGATTAAGCAAAAAGGGGTGGACTCCAGGCAACCTCTAGCCCAATTCTGTCCCTCCATCTCAAGGAGCAGAGAAATTGTCTTCCATTGCTGACCCCCAGCAGGAAAACAAAATTAAGGAGAAAGATAAAAGGACACGGAGGAAAAGTGGCAACTAGATTATTTAGGAGAGGCACAGAGGAGAGAAATTGGGGTGAGTCGCCATGGGGACTCCCAAGGCCCAGCACCCACCGCCTCCCCAGCTGCTGTTCCTAATTCTGCTGAGCTGTCCCTGGATTCAGGGTAAGGACAAGAGGGGGTGGGGGTGGACTCTGGGAAGGTCCCCAGCAGAGTCCTCCACCTTCTTTCTCTGAACATCTTGCGTCTTTTGAGCTCGCGGGGGGGGGGGGGGGGGGGGGGGGGGGGGCACAACTGATTGGGAAGGGGCAAGCCAGAGCTTTCCGGCTAGTACCTTTAGTCCCTTAACCCTCAATGTTGAGGAGGTGGGGAAATGAACAAGGGAAGCTTTTAGTAGCATCTTAGGGGTTAACCACGGGGAAGGAGGGCTGGGGAAGTTGGGGGGATGTCTGCGGAGGCGGCAGAAGCATGCAGGGTACCTGGGTGGGAGATGGAGGGGCTGGAAGAGACGCCAGTTGCTGCACACACAAATGTTCTTGGACATATGGACAAAAACAGATGAACAGAGAGGCATAGTGAGAGACCAGATATTCATATTCAGTCCCCTACTTCGTTTTGACCCCCAGTCAGATTCTAGGGAAAGAGGCAGCGACTGCAGAGAGAGAGAGAGAGAGAGAGAGAAGACAGCTACACTGCAGAGATGGAAACCCAGAGAGAAAACTGGGCATTGCAGAAGCAAGGGCTGCAAGGTGCCGCCAGACCCTTCTCAGAGCCCCAGGGTTGGGGAGAGTGCCACTGAGAAGTAAGAAAGGCAGCCTCAAAGCCCCTGCTTGGCCCTGTAGGCGCTGTCCAGGGTTCACAAGAGCTGATATGCTCATGAAGACCCACACAGCCCTGGCAGTGGAGAGAGAGGAGGTGTAGGAGTGTGAGGGGCAGCTGGCAGCTGGGAGTTTCTCCCCTGATCTTGGCTCTCAGCCCAGTCTGGGACCCTCTGAGCCCGTGCAGGCCCATCTGACAAGGAAGCTCTGGAAAAGATCTCTCTGGAGAAGGAAGGGATATGGGGGAGTGGAGAGGCTCACACAATTTCACCTCCTAGGTCTGCCCCTGAAGGAGGAGGAGGCGCTGCCAGAGCCTGGAAGTGAGACCCCCACAGTGGCCTCTGAGGCCCTGGCTGAGCTGATCCATGGGGCCCTGCTGAGAAGGGGCCCAGAGATGGGCTATTTGCCGGGTGAGGCCTGCAAATGGGCAGAAATGACATAAAGGCAAAGTGAGAGACATTGGCTTGGGAAGATGGGAGCCAGGACCAAGAAAGAGAAGCAGACAAAGAGAGACTGCAGAGACACCCCCCCCCCCCGAAAGATGAGTGAAACTCCGAGACAGGCAGTTGAAGAAAAAGTCAAAACTTGGCATTGACAAAACCAGAGAAATAGAAACAGGACGATTAAGAGACAGAAAAAAAGACACACAGAAAGATAGATGGAATTCAGAGAACTGGAGTTAGAGAAATGGTAGAACAGAAAGAGGAAATACAAACACTAGCAGATTCCAGTAGATCCAGGATCGTAAAATCAGAGAACATTAGTAATACTAATCAGAAATAAAGAGCTCCAGAGAGAGCAAGACAGAGAAGAGAGAAAAGGGTAACCGAGAGAACCAGACTTGAATGGGGGACAGGGAGAAGCGCTAGGAGACTAAGGGGGGCGGGACCTGGGTGGAGGGAGAAAGAAGGGTCAGCTGTGAAAACTTGGGAAGAGGTGGGGAGTTTGGGTGGGCAAGGTTAAGAGTGGGGGCTTTACTTTATGGTGGAGTCCCTTAGGGTTCATTACGGGAACCCCTGTTTCCCTCAGCCTTGCTCCTGCCCAGCCCCCCAACATCCTCCCACCCCCCACAGCACCCCACCCTTCCGCCAGCCAATTTGCTGCTCCTGTGCCTGACTTCCCTTGCACTGTCCCAGGATCTGATCCAGACCCCACACTAGCCACCCCTCCAGCCGGCCAGACACTTGCAGCACCCTTCCTGCCGCGGGCCACAGAGCCAGGGACAGGGCCTCTGACAACAGCTGTAACCCCTAAGGGGGTCAGGGGGGCAGGCCCCACCGCACCGGAGCTACTGACCCCGCCCCCAGGAACTACGGCCCCACCCCTTCCCGGCCCCGCCTCCCCAGTCCCGCCCCTCGGGCCTGAGGGAGGAGAGGAGGAGACCACCACTACCATCATCACCACGACAACTGTCACCACTACAGTCACCAGCCCAGGTGAGGCCATGGAAAGGGGATGGGGGTAATGTCTAGGAGCACGGATGTGAGAGAGGAGGATGCCAGGATGGATGGGGAAAGGTCGCCTGGAGCATGTGGATGAAGGGGCTCTGGGTCCAGATGGGAGAGGAGCTTCTGCTTAATAATGACAAACGCTAATATTTATATACACTTACTATGTGCCAGGTGCCATTCTATGTCTTCTGCCTATAATACAGTTGGGTAAAGGAGCTCTCAGTACAGGTGGGAGAGGGAGCATTGAATAAAGATGGTGAGGGATCCTGGGGAGAAGACAGATGAGGACCTGTGGAGTTGTTTAGCTGGGAGGGCAAGAGCACAGGGCCTCTCTCAATCCCAGCCACTTATATCTCTTTAGTTCTGTGTAATAACAACATCTCCGAGGGTGAAGGGTACGTGGAGTCTCCAGATTTGGGGAGCACTGCCAGCCGCACCTTGGGGCTCCTAGACTGCACATACAGCATCCATGTCTACCCTGGCTACGGAATTGAGATCCAGGTAACTGGACCTAAGCGTATTACTGTGAAACTTCCAATCCCTTTTCTCTGGGCTCAGTGGTGTGCATCATTTTAGCTGGGAAGCCAGAAAACCAGTATTCTGACTCAGATGGGCCTGTTTTCTGACTCAGATGATCTCAAAAACCCTTCTAGAGTTCTTCAAAATGGGCAACATCCCTGTGGTCTGGGTGGGGTCGCTACAGACTGGGAAAGGGAAGGCAAGGGGAGAGGGCTTAGGGAGCCACTTCCCCAGGCTGACTTGCCCTGGCCTATGACTGGTTTTTCTAGGTGCAG